CGGCGCGGCTCCGACTCCCGCCACCGCCGCAGCCACGGCAAACTTTGGCCTCTTCCCGGCGGTGTGCGAGCTGCTGCACACAGAGGGGGCGGGCGGCGCGGGCGCACGGTGGCCCGGCCGGCACACTGAGTCCCCGCGTCGCCGGGTCCAGCCGGCAGCAGTGACGAGGTCCACGTCCCGGGATGAGCCTCCTCGCCGAGTGTTTTGTTTTAACAGTGAGATCATCAACCCATTTTGAGTTTAGTTTCTGTAGTTTGTTGTATGGGATCTGGATCTTGATTGAATCTTCTGGATGTGGATAGCCAGCTTTCTGAGCATCATTATTAAAGAAGTTGTGCTTCTTCCAGGGTATTTGTGGCCCTTTCATCAAAGAGCAGATACCTGAATGCATGTGAGTTGGGGCTTGAGACCTGCTTCTGATACCATATGAGAGTGTGCTGGCTTCAGCGGAAACTCCCTGAGTTGGTGTCATCCAAGTAGAGGAAAAGCATCCTTGAGGCTGGATACCCGTGTGGTGATAGCAGCCCTTTTCACAGAACAGTTGTAGGGGCAATTTACATGGAATAGAATGCACAGATCATACATGCTCCATGTAAGTTTCAAAAATTGTACACAAATAACCCATGATCTAATTAAGGTGCAGAATATTCCTATCAGTCCTGGAGATTCTTACTCCTTTTTGGCTAGCTCTTTTCTGACACTGTCCCATGAGTTAATTCTGCAAGTTTTAAGACTCCATGTAAATGGAATCCTAAAAATGTGCAGTGACAAGCTCTGTTCATTCAGCGTATCATGCTCAGCTATGCGACCATAGCAGTTCATTCAGATTTAATGCTGAAGTATATTTGAATGCATGGAAATGTTGTAATTTGATCATTTCCCATTAATGGTCATTTGGATTGCTTCTGCTTTGTGGCTATCATGAACTAAACTATTAATATTTGGGTAGACTTTTATGTATTTAGTGCAGGGTCTACAGGGACTTGCTACACAGATCAGACTCATAGTGATCCTCCTGTTTTCAGGATCCCTAATGCTGGCATTGTAGGTATGTGCCACCATGCCCAGTCTCAGTCACTGTCTCAGTGTGCCCTGGGGGAAGGGCTCACATAGCATGGCTGGGATCAAACTCTGATCACTGCCCCTACCTAAGCAGGCAGTTTAGTCCACTGAGCTATCTGACCAGCCCTGTTATGTTCATCCTTAATTGCAATTTTTCTGCTATTTTCAATGTACTCATTCATTTCATTCTCTAAATGTTGCTAGAAGGTATGCTTTGGTTAATTTGACATGGCAACTCAACTGGGATAAAGGCTGCCCAGGTAGGTGCTAAAATGTTATTTCCTGGTGTGTTTGTGAGCCTATTCCCAGAAGAAATTCATATTTGAAAGTTATCAGACTGAGTAAAGATCTGTCCTCAACAGTGAGGTAGGAACCCTTCAATCCCTCGAGCTATAAATAGAAAGCCAGAGCGGGGAGGAAGGAGCTTCATTTCCTTGAGCAATGCGATCTGTCTTCTTCCCTGGGACAGTGAAGCTCCTTGTTCTGGGCCCTGCTGACTCTGGAGTTTACAGAAGACCCTGCCCCTGCCCTCCTCCCCATTCTTAGACTTTGGTCCCTGGCCTGACAGTTACACTGTCTGCTCCCCCTGCTTCTCAGGCCTTTGAATTGAAGGCTGAATATCCTCTACTTTCCTGTCCTCCCAGCCTGCAGACCATGAACCACAGGACTTCTTGGCCTGTACAACCACAGGAGAGAATGCTTTGTGTGAATCATACTGGTTCTGTTTCTCTGAAGAACCATAATGCAACCCTGAGTCACCTCATTGTTATATATTGTATATGTCAAGAGCCCAAAGGATCTGAGATTTTGCTGTCAAATGATTGCATTTCATTAACAGTCACAAAAGTCATAGGATCTTGAGTAGAGACTCCCAGAAGCAGAGATGTCAGAAAGGCAGGTTTTCAGCAGTTGCCCAAAGTCTAGGTCCTAATGAAGAGGACCAAGTGATGCTGCAACACACAGTGGGGTGCACTGCAGTGCAGGAGACCCCAGCTTAAGGAACCTGATTCTACTCTCTCAGAAGCAGTGAATCTGCCTGAACATCCACCCAGAAGGATATATTATTTCTTTTTCCTTTTTTTAAATTTCAGTACTGGGGATTGAACTCAGGACCCTGCACTTGCCAGGCAAGCGCTTATTCTACTGAGCTATCTTCCCGGCTCCCAGATATATCATTTCTATTGTACTGTCTAGCAAGTAAACCTGCTCTTTGCTCTAAAGGGAGGCTCTTTGACATCCACATACCCTTGAAAAGGCAGCTTCCACCAAAGGCAGTGGATGTCTCTGCAGGAACCTCAGACAGAAGCTTGCAGCCCGATGAAGAGCCATCTCAAGTGATGTTCTCTGATCTTGCTGTGTTCACTTCTCAGCCCTAGGAAGCGAGAATTTCCTTACATTTTCAATGTACATGCATAGTCACATTGATTTTCTGAATGAAAAGTCTCTCTCTTCCCCACCCCCCGAGAAAGAGGGTCTCTCTGTTTCTTTGGGTGGGCCTTGAACTCACTATGTCCTGCTATCCCTTGAAGGCCTCAGACTCGCAGGAAACCTCCTGACTCAGGCTCCCAAGTACTAGGACAGCAAGCAGCAAGCAGAAACTGCCGTGCCTGGCTTCCTGCTTTTGAATAGCTATACCTTTTGACTTTTCAAGTAGCACCGCCTGGGACCTCCAGAACAATGTTAATCAAAAGTGGTGAGAGAGAACATTCCCATATTGTTCTCAGTCTTGGATGGCTTGAGGTCTGTTGTTCCCTCCCTAAATCCCAGCACTAGCGTAGCTGACTCAGAAGCCACGTCCTACGGACACTCAACAGCTAAATCACTCTAAACTCTAGGCCAGCCTGAACTGCACAGCAAGAACCTGTCTTTTTAAAAAAGTGTTACTATATCTATTTCCACACCACCCTTTCTTTTAGAATGGTTATCTAGTTTCCTGGAGATGTACTATGGAGAGGTGTTGAATTTTATCACCTACTTTTTCCAGAGATAGAAGTTTTCTCTTTTAATTAGTAACGTTATTATTTTCTTGCATGGTCTGCAACTGTTCTGCCCCTGAGCTGCACCTCTCGCTTTGGCTTTCCTAAAATTCTTATCTCATGGTATTGATGGCGAGGCAAACCAGCAATGCCTGCACTCTGGAAGGACGAAGGAGGAGCATTGTAAGGTGGAGGCCTGCTCATTGTATAGCCTGTCCCAGCTCCAGAAAGAAATTGTTTAACTTCACCTTCCTGCAGTGAGCCAGTCCCATTTGGTCAGAGCCCAGCAGCCTTTTTTGTTTGTTTCCTTTATTGTTTTGGAGATAGGGTTTCACTCTGTAGTTCAGGCTGGCCTTGAAATTATGAAAATCCTCCTCCTTCAGCTTCCTGAGTGCTAAGATTACAAGCACTATCCACCAGCCTGGCTTGACTGATATTTTAATAGGGATCCCTACAGGGATAGTGAATGTTTTAGCTACAGTTCTGCTGACTGTTTCCCCCCCTTGTGAAGCACATCTGTGCTCTGCTGTCCGAATCCTCATCCACGAAGCTGTCCACACTGCGATCGTCTATATACCTGTGTGGTGAAGCTCTATGAAACACACAAGGGCAGGCTAGAGAGAGCTTCCAGAACAGATGTGAGCTTACCAGAGCATGAAGAAGTCATCCAAATCCAGAGAGGGTGACCCAATCCAACCCCGCCTCACAGGACAGAAGCTCCTGCACTGGGAACCCTACATACCTTTCCTGTGTGTGTCTTCACTGGCTGCCCATTTGCATCTTTCACATATCCTTTATAAGAAACCAGGAATCCCATGTGCCTGACTTTGGGGACTCAATCTAGCAAATAAATGGAGCCTTACAGAAAGGGGCCTGGGAACCTCATAGGAACCTCACCACTGGTGGCAGAATGGGAGCAGTCTTGTGCCATGCGCCATCAACCTGAGGGCCCTCATGGCTCCGAATGGGGATGTCAAGAAACCTACTGGTGTCTTGCAGAATTGCTTGCCGGTGGGGTGAAATTACCTCCCCTTTCTGCAGTCCCAGCAGTGACCTGTGTTACAGGAGTATGGGAAGAAAATCCAAGTCTGCTTTTCCTCTCCACCTCAGATGCCAATTAAGATCTTGAAAGCAAATTGTTGTATCTTGCTCCGTGACAGAGGTAAAAAGTTTGGTTTACTCTTCTATAACTAAAAGTCCTCAAATACCCCCCATGTTCCTCATGGACCAGTGTACGATCCTTAACTTAGTTTATTTGCAAGGACTCCTGGTGTCCTGCTCACTTCATTCTGTAGCCTTTCTTCAAACCAAATCGTGTCAATGTCCCGCACTGTGTCTACCTTCAAGGCTCTTGTGAGCCTCCTGCTTCCAAGTCATCTGCCTCCAGCTTGCTGAGGAGAATAAATCTTCAGAATGTGACTACCGATTCCTTAGAGTCCACCAGCCAGTGTGTGGTGGTCTAGGGTTTCCAGGTGGATAAATGGCAGTGTCTGCAGGATATGGTTAACTGTTCCTGCTGTCTGCCTGCATGGCAGCCAGTAAGCCCCGTGTCTTCTTTTTTGATTTGACATGGGGTTTAGTGTATAGCCCAGGCTGGCTTCACTCTCCTAGACTCAGAGTCACCCTCCCTCAGCATCATGAGTAGCAGGGAATACAGAGGACCATTCTGTTCATCACAGCCAGGATGTGGGCAGCAGCACCAACCCAGGCTTCCTCTTCGACCCTCAGCCTTGCACACCTATCACTGCACTATACCTGGAGGCAGTCACTCTGTCACCTTTCAGGTGGAGCAATAAGCACGCACCTTCCACAAGAGAAGGATGTGAGCAGATGTTCTATCACAAAGCTCATCTTGCCGTCAGGGACTCTTTGCTCTTCATTGTGAGGGCCCTAACCCATAACACCATGGGGTTTCATTGCCAAGTTGCCCTTCCTAGCCGGGTTCACCTCCTTCAACATGCTCTCAATTCCTGGCCTCCCTGGAAACAAGCAGAAATGAGAGGCGCCTGTGCTTTCTCTGGGTTCTCAGCACCTGTTAGTGACTAGCAATTGGAAAGTGGGACCACCTGGGGGTCTTTGTGCACACAGAGTCCCAGGCCCTTGCTTCCTGCAGGGATGCTGGGATGCCAGGATGCCAGTGATGCTGATCCTCTTCAAGGCTGAGACCCTCGGCTCCTAACACGGTCCTTGCTCAACCATTTCTCAGAAAGGATGCAGAGAGCCGGTTTTAGGCAATAGGGATCTCCTGAGGAGATTCCCCAGTAAGGGGAAAGGTGGATGTGATTACCCCCTTGGAATCACCTTGTATTTAAAAGGGGAGTCTGTAGCCCAAAGAATAATTCACAAGCTTAGTAGGAAGAGAAGAGCAAGTTTCTTGTGCCAGCCACCAAGGAGGCTTTCAGCACGCAGAAGGAGTCTAGGCTGGAGCAGCGATGAGTAGTGACAGAGACCAAGGTGAGTGTGGGCCAAGCACACCTGGGCCTCTGAAGTCCCGTGGGATGTGGGCACTAAGGAACTGAGAGAACTCATGGGTCCCAAGCAAGAGCCAAGCTCTGGGGATACATGGATCTTCCCAGGCAGAGCTCGCCAAGTGGGCATTGTTCAAAGTCGGTGGGGTGGAGGTGTAGAACATTTGAGATTAAAGGGCCTTGGGTCAGAGAGAAGCTCTTTTGTTCCGGCATAACCCCCAGGCACCTTTTCTTTCTCCCTTTCTTTCTCCCTAATCCTCTTCTCCCTTATAGAAACCAGTGATAGGAGCCAGGGCCCGTCGCCTAGGCAACATGACCAGCCCTGTGGCCAGGAGAGTGATGCTGAAGCTGCAGGCCTTAGCCATAGCCTGTCCCACCGTGGGGTTGACATCTCTGCATTTTACAACTCATACTTCCAGGCCTATGAGGCCTACCAAAGCAGCAAATTCCACCTAGACTTGAACAACTTGGTATGTACTTGGACACAGCCATTAGAGCCAGCTAAGTCTCTGAGTTCTGTTCCAAATACCCTGCAAGGACTCAATGGACGTGCTGTCTTATGAGGTGAAGGTACAGCCACAGATACAAGAGGAGGCTTCGTCAGAGAGATGGGGAACTGCAATCTAGGCACGCTGCCCGGCTGTCTTCTCACATCTGCTCTTTTCACTGCTGGGAGACGGGGCCTGTGATTGCAGGGGGAGTGAAACTACCCGCAGGGAAGCGAGGACAAGGATGACTATAGCTGTCTACCACGGCATCAACAGGAATGGAGCTTCCCAGAGCACTAGAGGGAGCCCACCTCCGGTGGCCTGCGACGGTGCCTTATATGCTGCTCCAGCCGGGCGATGGGCAAAGGCAGTGGGGGGTGGCAGTGGCACGTAGTCCCCCAGGAAGGAGAGGCAGCATGTGTAGAAGCTGCAAGTGGAGAAAGGCTCGCAGTGGTGGGACAGAAGGGCCCTGTGGTGAGAACACTCATGGTAGGTGCTGAGGTGAAGGAGGCAGGAGTGGACAGGACGTGTTAAACACAACCTGAGGCTGATAGCCATATGTTGCGTTTCCAGCCAAGGAGGGTCAAGGCAGCTCTGCAGAGAGAGGGGGGAGGACAGTACTAGCCAAGCCTTCCCTCTGTTGCCATTCAGTGACCATCTGCTTTCCTCGGGCTGGGTTGACTATTCCCGTGGTGCTCCAAGGGGCAGCAACTCCTCAAGCTAGTTGGGGTCCATATGAGTAACAGCAGAGGGGGTTACAAGGAGGCCCCTTTGGTGGGTAAACGTCCAGGTTCTGGGTCAGGCCCATGGAGCTGTACTCTTCACCTGAGATGTCATGGCTCATAAATTATAACTTGTATCTCTTTAATCTGGATTTAAATAGAAATAGTTCTCAGGCATTAACAGGCATAAGGCCTTTATCTAGTATGTGGTGGATACCGGAAATGGAGCATAATGCATCTGTTAATTAGTTCTCCCTGTGGTTCTAAAGGAGAAATTTTGCAACCTTTATTCTGTGCCCTTGGAATGACGGATTGCATTGCCTCATGGGGCAGTGACATTTCCCTTAATCTGAGGCCCGTTCTCGCAGGCATCTCTAGAGGAGCAGCTCATGGGGTGGTATGGGTCACACTAACACTCCTGCCCCTGCAGGGCTTCTTTCACCTAGATGTCAGTGAGAACAAGCTGTGCAGTGACCTGATGGCTGAAAGGGTGAGTCCTGCCCTGGGCTGTGCTGGGACCCACCTTGAGGGACCTGCACCAAGGGTGCGCTAGGGATGAGTAGAACGTACGAGTTTGGGGAAGGGAGTGAAAAACCAGCCGCTAGCACAGCATAGGCCACCTCCTGCTCTTGTGTCCAGAGGCGTTCTCTAGAAGGAACCCAGCGTGTGGGATGGGAAGGGGGCATCCATGAGGGGGAATATTGAATGCATCCTGGTGAGGTGTCTGTGTGCTGGTCAATGACAGGATAGTGGCTTCCCTCACCAGGGAAAAGGCAGAGGGCATGCCAATCCCCTTCTGGCTGCCATAGAAGGACAGGGAACAGATTGAAACTTAGGGTCGGATTTGCTTCCTGAATCTGGCTTTTCTCATGCTCTGTTTGTCAACAGCTGTGTCAGAAGGACATGGACGATGTTGAGGACATCCAGCTGCAGGCTCCCAACCCAAGAGGACATCCTTTGTAAGTGATCTCCAAGACACAGCAAGGGAGGGACTCAATGCACCCTGTCCTTGGCTGGCTGCCACCCTGTTCCTTTGGGTTACAACTCTTAGGAAAGGAGAGCAAAGCCTGATCAGGCAGCCTGCTCTGCAGAACAAGCCCTGGCCTGTAATGCCAGAGCCTGGGTGGGGTCTGGTCCCAACTCCCAGTTATTGTCTACAAGACCTGAACACTTGATATCCTTGTTTTATAACCACATATACAGAAGTTGGGCTGGGGTGCAGAGTTCCTTTCAGAGTGGGCATTTGTGCCTTTGCAAAAGGCTAAAATGTAGACCCTCAGTGAAGAGGGAGAACTGGGAACCATAAGAGGTCTCTGGGTCTGTCCACAGCCTGAGGGAAGCGGTGGCCCAGTTCCTGACCTCCTACTGCAGCGCTCCTGAATGCCTGTTTTCAAGAAATGTGAGTCCTGTGCTGTAGAGCTGTGTTCCTGGCACACTCACTGCCTTCTTGAGGGAAGGGTGGGAGAAACCAACCAAGGCAGAGTTAAGGCCAGTTGGACCTACCTTCAGAAGCGCCTGGTGTCTGTCCTCTCTGGGGGAGAGAGCTGGTGTAGCCTCAGCTTCTTGCATGTGTGAAGGTTTTTGAATTTCCCCATTGTGTTGTCCTCAGGTGGTTGTTCTAAATGGCTGCTCTGCCGTCTTCTCTGCGCTGTCCATGGTTCTCTGTGACCCAGGAGGTAAGCTGGAACACCTGGCACTGGGCCTGGAGAAAGCACCTTCTCTCAAGGGGGTGTCCCCATAGTGCTGGTGACTTTCTCTTGATTAGGATTTCTTCCTATTGCTGACCAGAAGGTAGAATTCTGAAATTGATATAGAGGAGACTCGACCATTCTTAAGCAGTGATGACATGGGGAACAAAATCATTCTGTTCCTAGCAGGGACTTTGGGCTCCACTGCAGTTTCAATAGCCCTGGTAACCCGCTTAGCTGTATCAGATTTTCTAGCATCTTCCTCATCCTCAAAAAGCTAATTAGCTCTGGACCAGATAAGTTGAAAGAGTTCTTCTTAGGTCCAAAAGACAGATGCCCTGATGGCATGAACCTTGGCCTCCAGTGTTTAAATCTTGGCCTCTGGAAAGAGCCTGGTGCACTTTCCCAAAGCCCAGAACTCTGCCCGCTAGCTGGCCTAGCTTGCCCTGGACCCTGGATCCTGAGCTGTTCAGAGTAAGTCTTTCCACTTCTTCCTCAGTGGACCTCCTCAGAAAAAGTTCATTTCATTGCCAAAATAATGTCTGTAAGAGCAGACAACCTTCATGGAGCCCGAGTGCAAGGGCATCAATCCCCAGACAAGACAGACTGCTCGAGTGGCCTCTTCTGTTGGTAGCTTTGCTGCTCCTCTGGCAGTGGGGAGGCTGGCGGTTTTGAGGGAACATGGAGTAATGGTTTCTTCTCCCTGTGCTTCCAGATTGTTTCCTGGTTCCCACTCCCTTTTTCAGTGGCTTCATCTTTGGCACCAAGATGTGTACTAATGTCGAGCTGATTCCCATCCACCTGGAGACTGAGGTCAGAAGGGGCCCTTTCCCTGCTCAGCCCACCCAGGCACTGCACTGTTGTGGTGGGCACTGAGGGGGTACGGGGGCCACACTCTCTGCGCATGAGGTGATGGAAGAGAAAGCAGGGTGAGGAAGCCACGCATGTCTAGCATCCGGGTACGAAGGCCAACCTTGGCCTGGGTTTTCAGTGAAGCATCAGGGCTCAGAAGCCTTCTGCAGGGCAGTTCTCAGTAGAGCCTGTCTTCCAGATCACTGATGAGGACACCCTGCCTTTCCAGCTCACTGTGGGCAAACTGGAGCAAGCCCTGCTTGAAGCTAAGACTCAGGTAAGGAGGGAATCCTATCTCCAGGAGGGCCTGAGAGGGGTTGAGTGCTGAGTGTCTGGTGGACCTGCTCAGTCCACTTGATGGGCTAGCTTTAGTCAGAAGAGGCAGTGAGTGCATCCTGTGACATAGCTCCCTAGGAGCAAGGCTTCCGGCTGTGGCAGCTCCCAGATCACCTTCCTGCCCCTGCCCAGGCAGGATGGCCAGGGCTTTCTGTGGCCTCATTTGTTTTTCTGTACAGAAACTGACCTATGAAGGCTTCTTGGTTGACCTTGGGGTAGATGGAAAGCTCCTGTGTTCACTCTTGTGTTTGGGTTCTTCTTAGTGTAAGAAGGTCAAAGGCCTCTTGCTGCCCAACCCTCAGAATGCTACGGGTCATGTCTACTCGCAGGAATCCCTGAAAGAATTCTTGGAATTTGCCAAAAGGTAAAAGCTTGGTCCCTTCAGACTGGATGACATTCCCAAGAGTGGTCCCTTCCCTCCTCATCACAAAATCAGAAGCAGAGGTCATTTACCCTAAATATGCTTAGCTTACTCTCTGCTTCGTGGAGTTGTGTACAACTAAGTGAAACCAAAGTGGAGAAGCAGCCACATGCATACCATTTGCAAGATGCTGCCTCTCCTTTCCTATTCTCTTCTCTAGTACAGACACTGGCATAGTAGTCATAATTAAGTTTTGTTGCTTTTCTACTCTATGACAAAAGGGCATTGCCCAACATCATTCCCCACACTACTTGGCCTGAGGAGTCAGATGACGGACCCTCAAACCTTGTACAAGGAAGATGTGCCTGCCCCTCTGTAGGTCTCACAGGAACCTAAGGGGTGGGGCACCTTGAAACTGTTTATCTCTAGAGTGCTAAAATAGCTCTAGTAGGGCACATGTTCTTTTCTAGATGAGACTTCCTGAAGTTTTAGGATAACCTAGAGCAATTAATGGCCCAAAGTAGGGCCAGGAGAGTGTTGGAGGTTGTGAGGAAGAATTTAGCAGAGCTAACTTCCCATACAAGTTCTCACACCTGCCAGGTAACAGAGTTAACTTCATACCTCACAGCATTCTTTTCCTTTTTGCCTGTGAGAGGCGGGTGAGAGCAAGGTTGCAGAGGGTTGTGGGGAGAAGAGGTAACATGAGGTGCACATTGTGCCCCCCTAGGTATTGCCCCTGCTCACTTCAGACTATGGGTGGGAACTTTGCGCTGTGTGAGATGAACACACTCTAGGATAATGCACCTCTGCTTGGTGGTTTAAAGTGGAGCACTGTGCTCCTCTGTCTTTGGGGTCCTTCATTCTCTGCCTCAGTATGGCAGGCTGGGTGCAAGGTCCCCTCTGGTCTATCGCCTCCTCCAACCTTACCCCTTGGAAGGGCAGGGTGGGTTCCTGAGCCAGAGGAGAATCTGCTCTGTATCTGTAGAAGAATAAGAATGAAACGATGTACAATTTCAGAAGGAAACTAGATCTTGTTCTCCTTTCACCCAACTACAGAAATGACCTGCATGTGGTTGTAGACGAAGTTTACATGCTGTCTGTGTTTGATGACTCTGTCCAGTTCCACAGTGTTCTGAGCTTGGAAAGGTGAGTTTGTTTCAGCTGACGTGGGGAGTAAGTGCCAGAGGGCCCTGCTTTGCAGGCAGAGTATGTGGAGCAGCACCCTAAGTGGTTACGGGTTAGGAAGGGACTGCAGTGACAGCTGGGGTCCTGAAGGTGAGCAAAGTATCGCCCACTCTAAATGCCATCCTGTATTTAAGCTAACTTGAGGACCAGGTAGCAAGTGCACTGCCAAAGGCCAAGATCAAGTCCCCTGCAGGTGTTCCTAAGCAGAACATAGGGAAAAAACAGGGAAGACCATCTTTGTGTTTTTATTCTGCATGTCTTTTTTTTTTTTTTTTGGTAGTAGTAGTAGAGGTTAGAACAAGGGCTGTTCTACCATTAAGTTACATCTCCAGGCCTTTGGAAACAAATTTTTTTTTGTTAAAATGGAAGTTTTGAGACTGGATCTTACTAAATTGCCCTGGCTGCCCTTGAATTGGCATTCCTTGTGAGCCTCTGGAGTAGCTGGGAGAATAGCCCCACAAGACTGCACCCTCTGCAGCACTTTGTGAAGGGTAGTGTTTGTCTCTAGGGAAAAGATTCCAACAAAACTAGGGAAGGGTGTGCCTGGCAGAAGGAGCAGCTTTACTAAAAGTGGGGCAGTAGGAGCCAGGCAAGCTCATTCTAGATGTGATGGGTGGCCCACATCGGAGCATCAAGCTGGCAGGGACGTGGCTTTGGGCTGGGTGCAGGACAGGCCGGGGTCAGGCACAGGTCCTGGGTTTCACTCTCCAGGCCCTTGGGAGCTGTTCCTTCTACTATGATGAGACCATTGTGGAAGTGACTCAGCCTTGGGCCCTGTTGCCTAAGAGAGACTCGAGTCCACTGTCCTGCTTGCCACTCATTGACCCTCAAGTTTTCATCCTTCAAATACTCCTCTGATTTTGGATTTTTCCATTTCTTCTCCAGGTTGCCTGACCCGCAAAAGACCTATGTGATCTGGAGCATCAGTAAGGTAAGCCCCAGCTTCCAGCCCTGGGGTCTGGGAGGAAGGGGGTCAGGAGGTCTGAAGGCAAAAGATCAGATGTTTGTCCTTCTACCTCTCTTCCTCTAGGATTTTGGCTTGGGCTTAGGTGCTCTGTACACCCCCAATGAAGATGTAGCCTTTGCTGTGAGCCCCTTTAGCTACCTCCACAGCATCTCCGGCATCGTCCAGTACCATCTGCGTTGCTTGCTCCGGGACAGAGGTACCGACTGCACCTTAGGGTAACATCATTGTCACAGAGAATTCCATGGGCACTTGGGCCCCTGATGTGGCCTCAGTATGCTGAGATACCCTAGAACTGTCAGGCATAACCACAGCCAAATGGCTGGATGCAGCTCAAAGTGCAGTAGGCATGGACAGAACGTGGAGATGCCATTCCGAACACAGGACGGGCTTTTGATGTTCAACAGCTTTAGGTCTGTCTGCAGTGGAGGTATTCAGACCCGAACGCAAGGACTTAAGCAATATATCCCATGGCAATGTCTATTTTTATTCTCTGGGACTGTGACTGCCTCAGGCACAGATTACAAACAAACATACACAGCCTGGTCTCATTTTTGAAGGTGGTCAAAGGAGAACTGCCACTCGCATAAGTTGGCAGTGTTAAGTCTATGGTGCTTAGGTTGGCCTTCTTATGCGTCAAGTGAACACTGGCCTCAGATCTGCTTTCATGCCATGGCCCAAGCTTAGAAAATGTGCATTTTTGTAATCACCAATAGTAACACAGATACGAAGATGATGGCTTAAATGAAGAGCTAGTATAAGCGAAATAAACTAATGTCATTAGATTAGCAGGTATAGAAAGTTTGCTTTCAGTTCTGAGCAGAGAAGGAGTAGACAGGGCAAATCCAACTGGATGCATCCCTACGGGGCGCTGAGCTCTTTGATATTTAGCAGAAACTGGGCCCAGCCACTCTGAGCACAGGATCTCAGCCTTGGGAATACCTGGCATTCGTTAGGATCTTAAATATGATTGTGGGCTCCACCCCCAAAGATTCTGATTAAGATGCTCTAAGTCATAACCTGGGTATCATGGATTCAAACGGCTCCCCAAGTGAACCTTCTCAGCTGTCAATGTTGAGAATAACTGGGCTATAATTATGTGGAACGTGGATTCTTCCAAGCTCGTTTTGTGAGGTCTAAAGGGACTGTGTAAGGGAAGATCTGATAACTGATGCTGTCAATGTACCCAGTTGATGGTAGCAGTAGCAGATCCTTCCCCTCTATGGAATAGGCTGCCTCACGGGTTTAATCTTGAAGGGATCATTCCCCCTGGACCACTGCAAAGCCCAGTTTTCTCCAAAGCCATAGATAAGAGGTGAGTGTGTTCGACGTGGATGCTACAGCTCCCATGTGAGACAGACTTAGTCCTGGGTAGGATCTGGCATGATGCTCAGGTCGAGAGACTGGAAGTAGCCCTCTGGCAAGTCTGTCAAAAGATCCACGATCCATTCTCTGTTCCATGTCTCCAGACTGGATTGACCGTATTTACCTGCCCGCTGTTCACTCGAGGCTCCGGACAGCTCATGCGTATGTCATCACAACGCTGCGTGAGTTGGAGGTTGTGCACAACTTTAAGATCTTCTTTCACAGTCGCAGCTGCGGCCTTTACCTCTGGATCAACTTGAAAAACGTGAGGTCTAGGAATGGGGACAGGTGTTCCAGGGCTGAGCCGTGAGGGAGGCGTGGGCTCAGCTCTGTTCCTCTGCCTGCCCTAGTTACTGGAACCGTGTACATTTGAAGAAGAGCTGGTCCTCTACCGCCGCTTCCTGGACCACAAGCTGATCTTGTCCCGAGGCCAATCCTACCTGCTTAAGGAGCCTGGCTGGTTTCGCCTCTGCTTTGCAGAAAATCCAGACAAACTAGAACTGGGTAAGTAGTGCTGATTTGGTAGTCCTAGCATCCTAGAAAGTTGCTCCATCATGTCTCTTCTAAGTCAATCTCTAAATCTTCCTCTCTTTTTAAAAAAAATATTTTGCATTTAGCACCCTCTAGCTTCAGCCTTTTGGAGCATATGTTTCCATTTTATCTGTGTTCTTTTTGTAAACGGGAAGTAATTTCCGCCTCACTCATGTACCCGTTCATTTTATCCTCTGGCTCTCTGTTTTGTCCCTGTCACTGAGCATAGCTTTGGGCCCAGAAGTGAGTGGGAATGAGCAAGACATTGCTCTTATGGGACTGGCCCTCTACGGAGGAGACAATCACACAACATGGATTTCAGTTTCTGGAAGTTATAGAAAACATGACTTTTACAATATTTATTACATCCTATGACATGCCACAGAGTGTTGTGTTTGGGAATGCAATAGTGAGTCATTCATTCTCATGGTGGTTTGAGTAGCACAAATATTTGTGGGTTTAGTATATAAAACAATGATTTATGAAGCACCAGAGCCATTTGATCAGGGACATGGAGTTGTAGGCTGAGGCTAGGAGATCCCAAAGTTTAGGGTTATGACAGGTTGGAGTCTTATTCAAAAGGAGGGTAGGCTGAGGAGACTCCGGTGGTCTAGGATGGCCTGGACCACTAGCAAACCTCTTAAGCTGTTGTTTCTTTTCCTCTGCTTGGGCCATGTAGCCATGCTGCGGTTTGGTCAGGCCATAGCAGAGCAGAAGCAATACTGGATCCAGAAGGTAGTGCAGTATATCCCAGAGTTAGAAGAAACGGACTCTTCTAGCAGTGATGACAACTGACTTTATCATCAGCCTGTGCAAACTCAGCACCCGTCTCTTGTGGAGGCTCTGCATCTTGCTCAGCTTTGCTAGTCGCCGTGTTTCTAATGGTCACTGGGGTTGGAGTAGAGGGCGTAGAGGTGCCTGGATGCATCCAGGGAGCTCTCTGGTCTTTTTTAAATGGTTTTATTTTTTTATTCAATACGTAATAAATGTTATATTCTCTTAAACTTCAGGCCTTTTTTCATTCTTCATAATCGCCTTTAGGAACAGGATGATATTTCATGCCTCACAAGTTTTAGAAACAGATGCATGGTAAACACCTCCGTAGAGCAGGCTGGCACAGAAGTGACAGCTACCTGATGGAGCACTTTGTGACAATGGAGCGCAAGATCTAGGACTTCCCTAGAGCACATCTACCTTTGTCCCAGGTGCTGAGTGGCCATTTTCAGGTACAGTTGTGGGTATTTCTGCTCCCAAATACAGGACAGTTTTCTAGTTTTGCCTTTCTAAGAGGACTTTAAAACAAATCTTTGAAGAGAAGCTTGGTGTCTTAGTCTCTTTAGCCTTCTCTAGCAATGCCCCCCAACCCAGTGTTTTATCATTCATGATTGTGGATGCAGGAGAGTACAGGATCAAACCCCAGGTAGGCTGGGTGCCTGGTGGGAGCCACATTGTCACTGCAACTTCACTGTGCCCCTGGATGAGGGGTACCCTTTCTTCAGGACTGAGTCACCTCTCAAAGGCCCCACATCCAGCTGTCCTCACCTCAGGATAAGGGATGTTCAAGTCTTAGTTTCAGAACTTCCGGTCCCTAATGTCTGGCATCTTTGTTTCCATCCCTATTGTTTGTAGCTGTTCAAATCGCATTCATAGTGTGAGTTTCTCCACGAAGCCCTTCCCTGCCGGAGCATCGGGGCTCTGCACCCTGCAGTACTGTGACTACCACCGTCTTACAGGCAGGGGGCGGTGAGCCTGTGGCACGTGTGCTGCCGTGGGTACCTAGAGCGCCCCCACTGCTGTCACAGAAGCCAGGCCACCCCAGGCCTTGAAAGTAGACAGACGGAAGTTTTTTTTCCATATCTGAAACTTTACTTAGAACCTTCTGTAATTTTTGTAGACAATCCTAGAAGCCATCAGGGGATCTACAAGGGATTTTCTGGCATTGTAGCTACAGCCCAGGTCCACAAGGGGGCGACAACCTTGTGTTTTCTTCTCCAGATAAAGCTAATTTGAACCTGACTTCTGCTGCTTGCAGAAGGATAGATTTTCAGAATCTGGAAATGAAGCTGTTGGAATCCAAGAAAGCTCTTTGCGAAAAAAGGCTGTGCCCTGCGTGCAGCACTTGAAGACAAAAAAGACAAGAGTGGGAAGGGGTGGCGAGGGACAGCACATCGGAGAGATCTGAAAACTTCTTAAACCGTGGAATTCTCTGCCCAATAGTTTTAAGTCAATGGAAGCACTTGGGATTGCATTTTTACGCTGGTCTTCTGCTCGTGAGCAGCTGATCTAAGCTTGTATATCAGATTACGTTAGTCATATAATCTGTATCTAATCTGATACAGGAAGCAAACTAGCGGATGACCTGCACGCAGCATGTGCTGCTTTGTAATGAAGTAGGAGCCAAGGACTGAGGGGTCATGAGCACAGCACAGCAGCGCAGGCCCAGGACCTGTGCAGAGCCACGCCAAGGGCAAACTTTTACCTTTCGATAAGCAGCTGTTAGTGTTATTAAAAAGCTCTGTTAGGGCTGGTGAGATGGCTCAGTGGTCTAAAGCGCCTACTTAGAACAAGCTTAACAAAGAACAGGGACCACGGTTCAATCCCCCAGCACCACATGCCAGCCAGCCGCGCCCCCTGGTGGGCTGAGCTGGCCACACACACACACACACAAAAAAAAAAAAAAATAAATAAAATTTAAAAAAAAAAGCTCTGTTACTTTTAATACAAAAGAAGTTAACCTCTGAGTTGTTTTATCTAAGCTGAAATTCAGTGATCAGATTGAGTTGTGGTGTTGGTACGTTCTCATAAATAAGTTTTAGGTCAAGTTGTAGGGAACTCTGAAAGTCTGACCCCCAGTGTCATAAATGCCAAAAAACTTTCAATGTTGCCTGAAAGGCTCTGGTTAGCCACTTGGACTTGTGCCCAAACTCTCATCAGTCCAGGTTTGGGTTTTTGTTGTTTTTCCCCCCATAATTTTATAGAGAAACAAATAGCAATGAGACAGTTTCAAACCAAATTGGTAGGACAGTTTCAATAATTAGCACATTGCATACATTCTTCCTAGTGGCTAATTGCTGTATGAGATGCGGACTTGATATCCTATTTACAAAAACCACTAGAACAAATCCCTCTATTTATTAAGAGAATGTAACTATATATCTATCCTAACCACTTTGAATACACAAATACAAAATGGACATTCATCTGTATCCCCTTTTTTTGTTAAGTTCCATCATTTAAATATTATAAGTGTGTAAACTCAGCAAAATATTCTAAAAGAGTCCAGTAGTCCATAATAATATTGGGTCTTCCGCTTCACTGCAGTGTCAGAAATTGTTGACCTAAGTCCCCTACAGCTCAACATAATATGACTTTACTTCTTATATTTTGTTTTTATACTTTTCTGCTGGATGGTTAAGACCAAGGTAAAGCGGGACCTATGTGACAAAAGTTGTAGCTTTTGGGTCTGATAAGGTCAGTGAAATCCCCTCAGGATTTATCCTGAGATCCTGTACCTCAGATTGTCTGTGTCAGCCATGTGGATGAGTCACAGCCATTGCTTGGCCAATGTGCTCTCTGTGAAAGCCTGAGAGAATGTTTTCTCTCCATGTGACTCTCCTTAGGCACACTCTACATCATTGATCACTTTCCTCTTTGGCCCCATAATCTCCTTGGTCAGAAAATTTGGGACACTGCCGAGTTACATGACGTTACAATATAAGTTCTCATATGTCCTGAGTCTTAAGTGACCTTGGAAGGCTAGGGTCACAATGTTGGCTTTCCTTGAGGCCCTCCTTTTTCTCTAATTTTGGTCTGCAAACTTAGGTTGTTAACCATCCAGAAGACAAGCTTATTGTTATTACCATACAACCTAGGCTGCTAAGCTTAACCTCACTATCTGTCTGAATATCAGACATCTTAGGCATAACATGGAACAGGTATTTTTCATCAAGTATTGATATGTTGAACTTGAAGTCCCTATAGAACATGATGAAAAAACATTAAAAATTAGAACATATTTTTAAAATAGGCATAAAGAATTATATACTTCTTATGTTTACACATAAGTCCAAAAATCTAACCATATGCAACCTTGAAACAAAACAGTCCCACAGTATTCCTTTTCCCATCTCTTGCCTTCATTCACCCCCTTTGCCTTCATTCACCCCCTTTGCCTTCATTCACCCCCTTTGCCTTCATTCACCCCCTTTTTATCAGTCCAGGTTTGGATCTTTTATTTCCCAATGACAATTTTTGGCTTAGCTTTAAAAAATAACCATTAGGGGCATACCAAGGATTCTGAGTCTCCAGGTTTGTTTGTTTGTTTTTGATACCAAAGTTCTTGTGTACTAAGTATCGCCCTGAGTGACAGAATTCTCATGTAGCTCAGAGACACTCTGTGGACATCTGAAATCTGAGCTAATCTTCTCATAGACACTGGATGGAAGCAGGCAGTCCATGCTGAGCAATCTCACTGGTCCTAGATTGCTCCTAATTGGAGGATTTCATGAACAAAAGTTATTAATCATTGGGCACAAGTATTTTTTGTGGTTATGCGTTTCCACTTCTGTCAGAGAAATTTGTAGCAGCAGAATTTTTGGATCATTATTTAACTTCCTAAGAAACAAATAGTTTTTCCAAAATGGTTGCACTCTTTTACATTCCTGACAGCAGTGCACAAAGTTGCTGGGTATTTGCTTGACACTGGTGTCATCAATATCTCTTACGTCGTTTTCATGGGTGTTTCAATTTCATTCTGCTTTTGTCATGTGACTGTAGTGCCGTGACAAGCATCTTTCGATGTGCTCAACGGCCCCTCCCATCTCCTTTGTGATGTGTCTGACACAACTGTGTTACTCTGAACACAAGCCCTCTAGTAGGAAAATATATTGCCTACACTTTCTCCTGATCTTGTGCTCTCATTTTTCTTAATAACGGAAGTCTTGAAATTAGAATAACAGATTTCACTTATCTTTCCCTTTTATGTTTAATTGGAGATTTTTTTGTCACAAAGATTCTTTACCTTTAAAAGGATAATATTTATAGTTTTTATGGTTACACCTATGAAGCATTTCTAGTATTTTTGTTTATGGACAGAGGGACAAGCACGTTCTCCACAGGGATATATGCTTGTCCCATCATCCTTTGAAATATGTTTTCTTTCCTCATTGTATAACCATGTCATCTTTGGTCCAAAAAGACAATCAGTTGGTCATGTGTGTGCAAGGCCATTTTTGGATAATTTCTCTGGTATCTGTGGATCTGTTAGCCTGCTCTTAGGCAATCTAATGTCCTGGTTGCTGTGGCTTCTAGGTACATGTTTTAGTCAGGTGGTAGCAGTCTTCCCTCCTGATTTTTTTTTTCTGGTACTGGGGATTGAACTCAGGACCTTGCACTTGCCAGGCAAGTGCTTATACTACTGAGCTATCTCCCCAGTCTTCCCTCTTGATCTTATCCAGAATTTCTTCAGTCTTTATTGGCCCCTACAAACTCCATATAAACTTCATAACCAGTTTTTCAATTCCTGTAAAACACTCTTGGAATTTCACAAAGACTTCACTGAATCACTAGACCATGTGAAGCAGCAGCCTCTTCCATCAGCATGGAACAGCTCTTCACACGTCTAGGTGTCTAAGTTCTCCATTGTTTTAGTTTTCCACACTCTAGTTTTATGTGTATTCTGTCAAATTCATCACTGAGTATATTACACTTTTTGTGCTATTTTCAGCATACTCATGTTATTCTCTAAATATTGCTAGAAGAATGTGATGCTTAATCTTATTTATTTTATTCATTTT